AGGTAGCAGAATGATATAGGCTACACCAACAAAAGCTACTAAGTATTCCACTCCGGGTGGGCTACAGCAGTAAAATTTACAAATCCTACTAACGGAAGAGCAGATTGGTAGTGATTTATTATGAACCGGGTGCTAGAAGCTATCTTAAGAAGTGGCATGGACTGGTGGACCATCAGAGTTAAGTACTGGAGCGAGAATGGAAGCGATTGCGTACTACCGTAGTAGTGAAGAAATGGTTGCAAACGCAGCTTTATACGAGTATGTAGGTAGCCAAATAAGAAGATCATCGGCGCCAAACTACACTATGTGTTCCATCCCAAGGTAAACTTTAAATGGAAAGATGCTGGTCAACTAGATGGCATGGAACAGGGTGGAGAGGCTGGGTTGACTGCAAAGCAGGAGCCGCCAGATATCGTAATGTAAGGCACAGACAAATGGCCGTTAATGTAGAAGAACAGTGGCAAGAATGAAAGAGAAAATATTTTACAGCTTTAAACGGCTGCAAAACGATCACTGTATTTGAACAGTGGTGCCGGAGTAGGCTGACCAACAGCTCCAAATGATACCAGGTGTCCACTGTACGGTGGACTTCTACAGTGAAATATTCATGTCAAAAACACGGCAGAGAAATATAATGTTACGTGCCGGCTTAATTGTTAATCAGGAGTCGTTTGCTATGTGAAGATGAGGTACATACTGATAAATAATCATGGTTGAAAAATGGAGTGAGAAGCACCAGGACAACATACAAAGCGGTATGGGGGAAACCGTTTAAGGGCCAGCGCTGTAGCGGAAGTTTGGTGGCAAAATGATCTGGGCTCCCCCGCCAAAGATACCAAGTGTTCCACTCAAAGGTGGGCAACAACAGTAAAAAATGCAAGTGAAACAGACGGCAGAGAGGAGTGGTGATCCAAGCCAGATTAGCTGTGAAGCAGGTGCGGTTTATTTCGTAATATTAGACAAGGCTATACAGTTTTAAAATATCGAAACCAGAGGAAATAAGAGACGGGAGTATATACCGCAGCTGTAACGACAATACAGAGGCAACGCCAGCGATGAGAGTGACGTGGTTGATATGGGCTGCAGCGCCAAAAGATACTTAGTACTCCACTCCAAAGTAAACTACAATTTAAAGCATAAATCTAGCAGACGGAGGAGAGGAGTGGTGGTGGAAGCCGGATTTATTGTAAAGTGGGAGCAACAAGCTATCATGAGGCATGGACTAATATGCTCCCAAAGTGACTAACTGGAGCAAGAATGGAAGCGATCGCATACTACAGCCGTAATTAGGAAACGGTTGTAGTCGCATCTCTAAGCAGGACCCATGGTAGCAGAATGAGATAAGCAGTAGCGACAAAAGATACTACGTGTGCCACTCCAAGGTGGATATCTAAAGCGAAATATTCACGTCAAATACGCGGTGGAGAATTGTGCTGGTGCGATCCGGGTTAATCGGGGCGCAGGAATTGCTCCTTATCGTAATTTAAGGCATGGGCTGAAAGTCGCCTACTGTTAAGGACAGGAGCGAGAAAATATGGGATTGCCTACTACAGCTATATCAAGCATCCGGGTGTAGGGCCAACTAAGAAATTGACTTGGGGTATCGGATTGATATGGACTGCAGCGCCAATAGGCACAAACCGCTGCACTCCAAGTTGCAGTTCTGTTGTACAATACAAGTAAAATAGACGACAAAAAGCAGGAAGCCGGATTAATTGTGAATCGAAAAATCAATTGCACAGCTAGCCCTGAAAAAGGACCAGGGATAGCGCATTAAGCTTGGCAGCGGTGCCGAAATATACTAAGCGTTCAACTCCAAGGTGGATTACTTACGTGAAATAGTAGATTAATAATGAAATATGAATGATCCATAGTATAAGCGGCTCTTCAGAGCGAGTCTGTGCCATTATAAATAAAAAGAGTAGCAGCGGACAAGGATATTTACAATCCGGTAGGAGATAGTGGAAAGTATGTAAAGTCGAGATATCAACACGCATTATGTGAAAAGGTCAGCAAGTCGGATGTTTGAGAATTATGCGTCATCACAATGCAAAGGATAGAATGTTAAGGTGAATGGGAGGTGGGCCACAGCCAATGTGGTTATTCGGAGCCTATCATTCGTACTAAGGTTAAACAGGCTGAGTCTGGAATCTACAAGCACCGACATGCGGAAACGCAAGTTGATAATAGTAGGAATGTAAGGCCGCAGCGACATTACGCATTAGATGAAGTGAGGCAGCTGTTGTGAATTCTAATGGTTGTAAGCGATGCGTTATCACAGTCCAGGTGGAAGCCTCTAAAGAGAAAATGGGAATGAGGCACATGCTCGATAGTGCTTCGAAGCTTAGCAGTCATACTAGTGTGAAACAGGTAGTGTATGGAAGCAGCAGATAAGGACACGTAAAATACAGATGTAGCTAATAATAAGAATGTAAGACCAACTTGACTTCAAGCCCAACGTGGAGGGGTCGAAACGTCAGTTAGTAGGATAGTAGTGAGCTATACGGCATTGAAATGCTAATGGAAGCTTGTTAAGATGAATGTGAATGGGTCAAGCCTAGATGACTCTCCAGAGTGAGCAGATATACTTGAGTGCTATGTTGCAGGTGGAGTGCATCAAGCACCAACGATCAGAATCCGGAGGTAGATGCTACTCGGAATGTAAGGCCGAAGTGACCTTAAGTGTGAGGCGGAGAAAGGAAAAGGGTAGCAATTCAGATGGTTGTGAACGATGCGGCAGCATATTCGATATGAAAGGATGTGATATGGTATAAGCGTTAACGTGGGAGCTTGGCAGCTAGCAAGGGTTTAGCAAATATATTAGCGTGAAACAGATGAATATAGGAATCAGCGGAGGATAACACTTAGAATCCAAAAGGGGGCGTTGCCGATGACGTAAGGTCGACATATCTTCAGGCACGAAGGGAAGAAATGAAAATGTTTGCAAGTCGGATGGTTGGGAGAGATGCGACATGTAAGGTGTAATGGAAGTTAGTCAAGATGAAATGGAATTGTGCATGGAGATGAAATGCGCATGTTAACCAGAGCATGGAGCGTTTACATCTCGGTAGTTGGACAGTCATGGAAGAAGACTGACAAGACGAGACTAGGTTAGAGCAGGCACTAAGAGTTGGCTGCCCGATTACATAAGGCTTGAAAACGTAGGCGGTAGCAACGAACTGACAGGTTCGGCACGAATAGTAGATCACTGGTTTGGTGTGGAAAAGACAACGAAGCCCCGTCTTAAGGGGTATAGAACGTTTCGTAATCCGAAAATTGGCCGTTAAACTTACAGTTGTCTGAGTGCATTCGGAGAGTAGGAGATTAGCCAGACGAGAATGGGTTAGTCGGCGCTTTGAGTTTGGGTCGTATACTACAGGTGGAAAGACAACCAGAAAGGGTCAACAGCAATGAACACAAAAGAACTACCATAATAAATTGTAAGCAATTCTGGCAGGTTGTCAAGATGTGGGGCACTTCGTATTGTGTCTGCAGCTCCTAGACCTTTTGCAACTCGATAGTCATGTGTACAGATGGAGAGCAGGAGACTGCTCAAAGGTGTCTAGGTAATGCAGGGCACTGAGCTTTCTGTCCGATTGCAGAAGAAATCAAAGCAAGGAGTGCGAGAAGGAGAGCAAAGTTTTGGAATGAAGCGAGTGTTATTGATGCTTGTTGAGGAATCTGACAAGGTCGTACGCACATGGAGATTCTTCTTCACAATAAGGTGGTTTGTATTAAGGTCTAAATGGGATCGTGGCCGTTTCCAAGTGCTTGTTATCGTGCTGGCAAAAGCCCTGGGTTGCTGCTACTTTCAGACCCTTACCACTCTATGTATGGCCGTGGAGGATTGTGTGTTATTAACAGATGCTCTGACAGTTTCCGGTTGCTTATTCCATAAATAAGTAAATAAATAAATACGTTCGCATATGTATATGGGATGTAGTTAGAAGGTATAGAGCAACGTATGTTGCATAGTGAGGTTGAGTAGGACATTTTGCGTAGAGGATAACGTATAGCGCTAGACAGTTAAAAGAAGCTAGCGACACTTAAGTCCGATTTATTGATTCTCTTATGGAGCAAAATATTGTTGGTTTTAGGTTGTTGCAACCAAGCACAATCAAGACCAAGCCGCTTGCAGCGGCTTCGATCGTTAAACGCGCAGATGCTGTTACGAGGCGCTTAGTGATCAAGCGCTGAAATTGCTCAATAATCATCCTGCCATTTGTACGTGAGTTAGCAACGACTAGTGCTCAGTACTCTGCTATTGGTCAGGCATACAATTTTAAAAGCGAGTCATGACTCTAGCAAAAGCAATGGCTTCAGTACATAACCAAGAATATACCTGCTTTTGACAGAGCTATCCCTAGCTTTTACCGCAAAATTCAATGAGCTGGAAAAGTGTACACCGAGTTCGCCCACAGTGAAGATGTAAATTAGTAGTGTACTGGTGTGGATTAATAGGTTAGGTAGTATTGAGCACCGGTAGGATGGGACGTGGCCTTTAGTTGAAGAGAACCTTATTTTTCTTAGGTCATTGTTAGGGAGCTGGCTACTTAACCCTCAGTTTCATGAATTATGTTAGTTGCCTATTTCTTTGTTTGCGCAGTTACCTGCTTCTCTGCTACATTTTGGACACGCCGCTTTCCTCATCCTCATTCGCAATCGCTCACAGCTAATTTCAGCCGTCTCATTCTGTGGACATTCTGATTGGTTTCTTTTGCTCAGCGTTCCTTAGCTTTTCACGTGGATGTATTATTCAGCCGACACATATTTATTATACCTGTTTTTATTTTCCTGGTTTGTATCATTCTCACTATCAACTGTTCTGGCATTTGTTTAAACGCATCACTTCTCCACACTGATTGGACGCTACTCGTCGTTTTTAATGGTCGCTCACCAGAAGGTTACCCCCAGGGATTAACTCCGCAGACACTATTTTCTTTGCCGCACTTCATTGGCTCGTAATTTTGGCGATTCTCATTTGCTTGTTCCATTTTGTGTTTTCTCCATGCCTGTTGGATCTCATGCGTTTAGTAGCTTGGCTTCGCCCTTGTTTGTAAAGCTATATAACTGGTGCCGTGCTGTAATAGAAAATCTGTTCATCCCGGCTCATCTTGGACTTCTTCTTGCGGTCGTGGGGTGAAGGCGTACTGGGCGTCACAACATATTCTTCTGGCGACGGAGGTGTTGAAAATCATGACTATTTCATTCGAACAGATGCAGTCCCTCCTCCAACAGCAGCAGTTACATTTTGAAAAGTCGCAACGGCATTTAATTGACTTGTTATCAGAAAAACTGCACATCCAGGTGGATTGGGAACCGGAACCCGTTTTGACATCACATGAAATTGAAGCTGAATGCCATAGGCTGCTCAATTTGAACAACGACACAAAAATGATTGAAGTCTCAGCTTCCAGAACAGAATCCCAATCCCATCATACAGTTATTGGTGGCCAACAATTGAGCTGTAATGTGCCGGACCGGAAGCCCCCGACCGCATTTTGGAACGGTGGTGAGAGGCAAACAGTGAGAGATTGCGCCTACAAAATTCCTTACTCTCAAGAAGCACGCAAATACTGGCGCGTGTGTACTCCAAGGGTGCAGGCATGCTTGAAACTGAAAAGGACCAGCTTCCACGATGTAACAAAGTTTGCAGGGAGGAGAAGACGCCTGACAATGAAACGCGATTATGTTCCCGTGTCCCTACAGCCACAAACAGTGTCTGCTATCACGATCGTTTCTCGATCGATAAGGACAAAAATTGCCAAGACATCGGACAGATTAACCGAACTCATGGTCCAAAATACTCCAGGGGAACGGTTACAGCCAGACAGAGCACACGCCTGTGAACAAAGACCCAAGGAAATGCAACGCCTGGAAATCATTTGCCTAGCCAGACGTGCGGATTTTAATCTGTGCAAAGTGGAAGAAATTCGGAAGTTATACTTGCTCAATGAGTCAACGAATCATGTCATGTCTTGCACTAAGGTGAATACAAGTCCCGTATACTCCAGTGCTGACAACTTACTCGAACGAACGACATTGCACACTTGGCCTGAGCCCGAACCACCTTGGTGTTGGATGCATGTGGACCCAGGTGGACCCGCGTCGGAAAAGCTATGTTCCGTACAGGTAACTAACTTTTTAGAAGGGGGAGATGTTAGGGAGCTGGCTACTTAACCCTCAGTTTCATGAATTATGTTAGTTGCCTATTTCTTTGTTTGCGCAGTTACCTGCTTCTCTGCTACATTTTGGACACGCCGCTTTCCTCAGCCTCATTCGCAATCGCTCACAGCTAATTTCAGCCGTCTCATTCTGTGGACATTCTGATTGGTTTCTTTTGCTCAGCGTTCCTTAGCTTTTCACGTGGATGTATTATTCAGCCGACACATATTTATTATACCTGTTTTTATTTTCCTGGTGTGTATCATTCTCACTATCAACTGTTCTGGCATTTGTTTAAACGCATCACTTCTCCACACTGATTGGACGCTACTCGTCGTTTTTAATGGTCGCTCACCAGAAGGTTAGCCCCAGGGATTAACTCCGCAGACACTATCTTCTTTGCCGCACTTCATTGGCTCGTAATTTTAGCGATTCTCATTTGCTTGTTCCATTTTGTGTTTTCTCCATGCCTGTTGGATCTCATGCGTTTAGTAGCTTGGATTCACCCCCGTTTGTAAAGCTATATAACTGGTGCCGTGCTGTAATAGAAAATCTGTTCATCCCGGCTCATCTTGGACTTCTTCTTGCGGTCGTGGGGTGAAGGCCTACTGGGTGTCACAACAGTCATAATATGTTTCAAGAGGGACGCGATAGCATGGAATGCTGTTGAGGCAGTTGTGTAGACAATTTGGATCGATTGAGAATATTACTTTTATCATTTGCAGAAAGGCACAAAGTACCGTGTTTGAAATCTTGGAATACATCTTTGCTGTACAGCAAAAAATGCAGAGAACTCGGGACGCTGCCTAGGAATTCTTCGCTGGTTACTGATGCCTTTTTGGATGAGATGACGCCCCTATAGCACGGACTGAGTTTAGTTGAAATAGAGGAGCAAACCATACAAGGAAGTGGCTGGAGGCACCAAACGCGGCCAATTTATTTATTAAACTATTGTGTGGGACCCGGTCAAATTTTATATTTATGTGCAGGAGGATAGTGCCCAACGCCTGCCCCAAGTCGATGGAGTGTGTCATGTGGTTTAAGTATTAAAATTGGCCAGTCTGAGAGGATTTAGTCTGCAGAAACTCATGGTGGGACTTAGTGATTAGTTTGCGATGCAGTAGAAAGAGAAACGTACCGTGTCTATTATTCTTTCTGTGAGCCAAGACGAAACAGGTATGCGACAAGTAGGACGATAGTTGTCAATATTTTGGTGACAGCGCTAATTGCTTCGTGGTATAATGGTTGCGTATTTCCAAGTAGACGTGTTTTGACCGCTCTTTATTAAGTTGGTGAAGACATTGAAGGGATGGATTGGAATGCCTTTTCCTCTGTGTGTTAATACGGAGGAAGGGACACAGTCAGAACCAAAACAATGTGCCAATTTTAACGAGCTAATTGTCCGCTTGATATTGTCTTATTCAAGGTCAGTAGTGGGGATTTGCTTTTCGGTGAACTTAGGTAGCGCGTTTGACGATGCCAAACCATTGCTGGTGAAGGAGGAACAGAAGTGTGTTAATGAAGTCACAGAGATCGACCGCCCTTGTGGCTATCGTTTTATCTGGATGCACGAGGGTAGTACTCGGCACAACTCTGCAGCCACCCCACTGCTTTATTAGTCAAGAAAGAGACGTCGCCTTGTTGTCAGTACAAAGCGGTTCTTGCTCTACTGCCCTACTGCATATTCTACTGAGCAGTGAAACTAGTATTGGTGGCTAGAAAGCTAAGGAAGATTAATTAAAAATGGTTTCGGAGGGGCAGAATGCAAGCATAGCTAAGGTTACTGAGCATATCAGCGCATAGCTGACAAAAGCAAAGCAGCACATAGAAATACGACACATGCTGGTTTGCTAAAATAATGGTACTTAGGTAATTAGAGCCAGGGAATGCTAGCCCAAGTGCTGTACGCCTGCATATATATGTAACTCGACATTACAACGAGTAAGAAATAAACGAATATCTGAAGATGAGAGGCTGAATAGCAGCCGTGCACAGACCACAGGAAGCATGTTTACACGTTAGAAAAGAGCTGTGGAAAGACAGCATAGGAGAGTAGCGCAGTTATACATTTCTGTTTTATACGTCAGAGCATAAAGAAATAAAGCGCCGCGGCGCGCCGACACTGACGTCAGGCTATGGTGCTAAGGGAACAGTGCAACTGTAGACAGCGCCGGAAAAATCCAGTGAGATAGTTGGACTCCTACATGAGCAGGTGTCACCGACATTTCAACGATTAAGGGATAGCTGATCACCTCGAAGAAAGAGACTAAGGAGCGGCTGTGCCCTGACCAGTAAAGAACACAGTGCTTGCCAGTAGCGTACTGAACATGTTTACTGAAGAAAGAATAACAAACAGGCAGAATGCAAGCATACTTTGAGTTTACTGAGGAGGTAACAGCCTTTGAGGCAGGTTCTCAGCGACGCACAGATGTTCTACTCATGTCATAGTGCTAAGGAAATGGTGCTAAAGTAGACAAAAGCCTCGCAACGCTGCTGAAACGGCTAGGCATTTACATGAGCAAGTGTCAAAGTGATTGCTGGGAGTGAGGAAATGCCGAAAGTCTAGAAACGTGTGACTAAGGCGCAGCTATGCCTTGACAAATTGATCTATACTTGTGCGACAGTTTGCTAAGGATGGCTAGTTAATACATGTTAGCGAACGGGGGAAATTCAAGCATGCGTTAATGTTGCTGAGAATATCAGCGCATACGAGACAAAAGCGCAGCGGCCCTAGATGTTAGGGTGCTAGGATAATACTACCAAGGTGGATAGAGCCAAGGTAAACTAATTTGTGAGTTGAACGCTTGCAGGTGTAAAAGTCCAAGACGTTACAACGACTAAGCGGTAAATGAACATCAGGAAATGGGAGGCTAACCAGCAGCTGTGCGCTGAGCACCTTTGTTATGTATGCTTGCTAGAAGAGAGCTAAGAAGGCTTTAATGATAAGAGGACAGCGTACGGGAGAGGCGCAAGCGTGCATTAGGATTATTAAATATGTCAGAGCATGAGGTTAAAGCGCAACGGGATGCAGATACTAAAGTCGGAGTAAGTTGCTAGTAGAATAGTGCTAAGGTGGACTGAAACGCACAAACCCAATGAGAAAGCTGGGCTTATACCTGAGCAAGTGTCTTAGTCATGGCAGCGAGTAGGGATAAGGTGCTCATCTAGAAGAGAGAGACTAAGGAGCAGTTGCGCATAGGCCAGATGAGCTAAGAATAATGGTTAGAAGAGAGATAAAAGTGGTAAATGAAAAAAGGAAATCAAACAGACAGATTGCATGCATACAGCAAGGTTACTGAAGACCTCACAGCATATGAGGCAGAAGCACAATGGGGCGCAGACACTGAAGTTATCTTAAGGTGTTAAGGGAATAATTCTAAGATTTTCTGACTCAGGAAATTGCCACTGCAAGGGCCGGCAACGCTAGCAGACATCATCATCATCATGCACGTTAGCTAGAGGTTGGGAACACCTCAGCTACTTTGCCGCAATATATAAAGAAATACCAAAAATGCAACTGGTGCAAGCTGGCTGAGCTACCGGTAACGGGTGGGCATCGTTCCGGTAAGCTACCAGCTGGCTACTGTGCAAGAAAAAATTACTATGCAAAATTATATAACGCCAAATAATGAGTTCGTGCTTGGAGGGGGAGGCTAAGAGGGATAGGGTGGGACAAAGCAACTCATAGCACGTACGCCACTGTGGTCGGCTCCTTGCTATATCAGCAAGTGTGTCCAACCAACCGTGTTCATCGTCTTTTGCTCCCCAACCAGGTTGTCGGGACGCTCCAACCGAGGTCAGATCAGAAGTAAAAGCTTTCCTTCCTCTCGACCAAGTCATCGCTTGGCCACCCCTCCTCTTCTTCCATCCACGTCCCGGCGCGCAAACAACACATGTCGCGAGAGTCGGTAGGCTAGCATGCGTAACACGTGGCCAAACTATCGGAGCCTGTTGCGTGAACTAACGGTGCTGAGCGGTTTAATTCCTTTTCCTGTGTCTTAAGCAAGGCGTCGAACACGCTCGTTGCTCACGCGGTGTTCCCACCAGATAAGAGGCAAATTACGAAGGCACCGGTAGTCGAACGTAACTAGCCTCCTTAGGTCGGCTGCTTTAAGCGGCCAGGTTTTACAACCGTACAGGAGGGTCGAACGTACCGCTGCATTGTACACTCTACCCATCAATGCAAGAGTGATGTCGCGCCGGCGCCACAAGTGGCTATGGTTAGCAAAAGCGCCCCGAGCTTTTGCTATACGATTCGTGATTTCATCTTCAATCCCAGCGGCGCTGATACAACTTCCCAGGTAGTTGAATTTTTGAACGACTTCTAGCTGATCCGCACCAAGGGTCAGCGTAGGAGGCGGTCCAGACCAACCTTGGAGAAACGCTTTGCACTTCGAGGGTGCGAAGCAAAGCCCGAAGTGACGGACAGCTGGTGCCAATCTGTCTAGTGACACTTGGCACGTTTGTGAGCTGTCACAGATCAGGGCAATATCATCAGCAAAATCTAAGTCAAGAAGCCGATCTCCTGGGAGTAGCTCCACACCTTCTAAGTAGTGTCCTGTGAACGCGATTTCCATGACTTCTTCAACAGTGAACTTGAAGAGGAAAGGTGACAGCGAGCGTTCTTGTCTCACGCAGCTGGAGATATTAAAGAGCGACAACAACTTGCCCTAAGCCCTCACTCTACCCGAGCTACGCGCATATAATGCTCGAATAATATTCACCTATTTCTCAGGTAATCCTTTCCTGAGTAGACAGTCTCAAAGTGCATGTCTATCCACCGAATCGAATGCACCTTTGATATCGAGGTGCACGACAACGGTGGGCGGCCAATATATGTGTCGGTGCTCCAACAACTGACGCAAGGTGAAGATGTGGTCAATGCAGCCACGACCTCAAAGAACTTTAGCTTGCTCTTCACGAATTTGGCTTTCACGAGTGCCAGTTAGTCTGTGAAGGATGACAGAGGTAAGCCATTTGGAAACGATGGAGATCAGACTGGTTCCTCTATGGTTGGCGCATTCCGATCGTGAGACACCCATGAAAATTGGGACTATGAGGAAGCGGCTCCGATCGGTTGGGACAGTTTCCTGCTCCCACAGTTTGACTATTAGCTTGTGTAAATCATCCACAAGTGTAGGTCCCCCGAATTTGAAGAGGGCTGGAGGAGGATCATCAGATCCCGCGGCTTTATTTAACTTCCACAGTCCGATCTCACGTTCGACTTTTGAGCGAGAGCGTGGATCCAAAGAGCCAGCCCAGGAAGCGGGGCAGTCAGGTGCCGGCGAGAAATCTAACCATTCCGACCGATTAAAAAGCCCTTATAAAGTGCGCGGCCCAAAGCTCTAAGCCGTTTGATAAGTTGTGGATAGGCCGTCTACTCTCGTCACACATCGTTTCACTAACACCAAGTCTCCTGCTGCCCGTTTCCCGTATCAGACGGAATAACTTCCGATGGTTACCAAGAGCAGCAGCCATTTCTATCTCTGAAGCATGATGAGACCACCAGGATTCGCGGTCCCTCTTCAGGCTAGCACGGAGTTTCGCCCGGAGCACTTTGCGAGTTTCA